GTGTGTGTGTGTGTGTGTGTGTGTGTGTGTGTGTGTGTAGGCATGTATGGAACCTTGTGCGTATCCACAGGTATGAACACAAAAGTCTTCTCTGCTTGGGAGCTCAGCAGAGGCCAGAGTTGGAATCCTGAGGCTCAGCTGGGAGCCTCTGATGCATTTTTCTCAGCCCCTCCCACCTTCACACTCTCTCTGCTACCACCAGAGGTGGGAGGGAGGGATCTTTAACATTTATTGAGCACTTACTATGTGCCAGGTCCTGTGTCCTGTGGTTCCTAGGAAAGAACTTAATGAAGATGGTGCATTTATCATCCCAATCTACAGGTTAAGAAATTACAACCTCAATAGGGGAAATCATTCATCTGGGGTCACAGAGCTAGCAAGTGGGGGAACCAGGACTTGAACCTGAGGCTGTTGGTTTCCAAGCTCTTGATTTTACTAAGAGTGCCCAGCTCTATGCCTGGTACATGTTAGGCATTTGATGATGATGATGGTGATGGTAATTCATAATGGCTAACTTATATTAAGTACATTTTATGTCCCAGGCACTGTTTTGAGTACACCATGTTGATTTATATATTTAATTCTCACAGAAGTAAGGCCTATTTCTATCTCCATTTTACAGATGAAGAAACCGAGATTCAGAGAGGTTCAGACACTTGCCCGAGGTCTCACAGCTAGTAAGTGGCAGAGGTGGGATTTGAGCCCAAGGAGTTAAGACTTTGCTATCCATGGCCTTAAACCATAATCAACAGTGATTTTCAGAATATTTAGTGAGTACCGGAGGGCCCAGACTAGGCCAGGAGTCATCCCTCTGGTTGGGACATCATGAGAGGTCTGGGATCTCATAGAGGAAGGGCAGAGGTGAGGGTAGGATGCTAGGGGAGGGGATAGTGGTAACTTACCAACTGGCATAGAAAACTGTCACCTGTTAACAATGAGCATGCTCCTAATGATGAGTCCTGTCACCATCCTGGAGGACCTAGTGGTGGGAGGGTGGAAACCAGGTCTGACTCTTAGCAGGACTTCCAGGGTAGCCACCCCAGGCAAAGCCTGGGTAATCTTCTCTTCTCTTGCAGGTCTTGCCTCCCAGCCCTCTTGCCTTCCCACTGCACCATGGCTCCAGGCCTCTTCTTCTCGGCGCTCGCCTCCACCTCTGTGTGCCAAGACCGGCTTGCTCTTCGTGCCGCCTGCCATCGACCGGCGCGTGGTGGAGCTGCGGCTCACAGACAACTTCATCGCCGCCGTCCGCCGCCGAGACTTCGCCAACATGACTAGCCTGGTGCACCTCACCCTCTCCCGGAACACCATCGGCCAGGTGGCAGCTGGTGCCTTTGCTGACCTTCGAGCGCTCCGCGCCCTGCACCTCGACAGCAACCGCCTGGCAGAGGTGCGTGGCGACCAGCTTCGCGGCCTGGGCAACCTTCGCCACCTGATTCTCGGCAACAACCAGATCCGTAGGGTAGAGTCAGCTGCTTTCGATGCCTTCCTGTCCACCGTGGAGGACCTGGATCTGTCCTACAACAACCTGGAGGCCCTGCCCTGGGAGGCCGTAGGCCAGATGGTGAATCTGAACACCCTCACCCTGGACCACAATCTCATCGACCACATCGCTGAAGGGACCTTCGTGCAGCTTCACAAACTAGTGCGCCTAGACATGACTTCCAACCGTCTCCATAAACTCCCGCCTGACGGGCTCTTCCTGAGGTCACAAGGCACTGGGCCCAAGCCGCCCACACCGCTGACGGTCAGCTTTGGCGGCAACCCCCTGCACTGCAACTGCGAGCTGCTCTGGCTGCGGCGGCTGACCAGAGAGGACGACCTGGAGACCTGTGCCACCCCTGAGCACCTCACCGACCGCTACTTCTGGTCCATCCCTGAGGAGGAGTTCCTGTGTGAACCCCCGCTGATCACTCGGCAGGCTGGGGGCCGCGCCCTGGTGGTGGAGGGCCAGGCTGTCAGCCTCCGCTGCCGCGCAGTGGGCGACCCTGAACCTGTGGTGCATTGGGTGGCACCTGATGGGAGGCTGCTGGGGAACTCCAGCCGGACCCGGGTCCGGGGGGATGGGACACTGGATGTGACCATCACCACTTTGCGGGACAGTGGCACCTTCACTTGCATTGCCTCCAATGCGGCAGGGGGAGCCACATCGCTTGCCCCTGTGGGGGTGTGTGTGGTACCCCTGCCACTGATGGCACCCCCACCAGCTGCCCCGCCACCTCTCACCGAGCCTGGTTCATCTGACATCGCCACACCCGGCCGACCTGGTGCCAACGATTCAGTTGCTGAGCGCCGGCTGGTGGCAGCTGAGCTGACCTCAAACTCCGTGCTCATCCGCTGGCCAGCCCAGAGACCTGTGCCTGGCATCCGCATGTACCAGGTCCAGTACAACAGCTCGGTGGATGACTCCCTCGTGTACAGGTGGGTGTGGTGGTACAGTTTCAGCACCTTCTCCCCAACCCAGAGGGCCCCTTCCTCCTGCCTACCCATTTTTTGGGCCTTATTGCTTAGCCAAGGTTCTAGACAGTCATGCAGGATGGACCTGGATCTTCATTGGCTGTCCCTTCTCTATTTCTGTCTCACTGTCTTGTCTCTGTTTTTCATGCGTTCACATATTTACTGAGCACTTACATGAGCCAGTTCAGGGCTGGACACTGGAGTTATAAGAGGAGTCTAGCACTGTCCCTGCTCCCATGGGAGTCACAGTCAATATCACTGCTCATCAAAGGGGTCTGATCGTGTACCTCATTTGGAGCACACACACGTATGCTTATAGTTACATTTATAAATTATGTGCTAGCACTGTTGTACCAACATATTGGGTACATTATAGAAACAGAAAACCAAAAGTATAAGAAAAGTAAAAATCTAAGTTATTTCCATCCTCCACTAGAATAGAACAGACTTGAATGGTGTAGATAGGCATTAAAGAGTTACTATTCCCCATCATCTCCATTATTCTGTGGCTGTCATCTTTCAGCCTTTTCTCCCTCCTGCCTTTAATAGGTACTGAGTCCCTGTTCTGTGTTAGGGCCTGAACTGGGTGCTGGGGACACAGGGAGACCAAGAGACCCCGTCACTGCCTTCAGCCCAGTGGGTGGAGGTATGCTCTACACAGTGACTTACTGCCTGCACCTTCCAGTGTCTTTCCATCTCAGTAGTTTTTTTTTTTTTTTTTTTTAAATAATTATTTTTTTTATTTATTTTTTTTTATTTTGCCCAGATTTTTCTTTCTCTTTGTTTTTTTTTTTTTTTTTAAATAATTATTTTATTTATTTATTTTATTTTAATTTGACCAGAGTGAGACAAGGAGAAAGGAGGAAAGTGAGAAAGCAAGTCGCCAGGTCCAGGACTTGAACTGCAGTGGGCCATGTGGGAGTCCAGCAGGCTTAACCACCATGCCACCTGCTGGCCCCATCTCAGTAGTTTTTTAGTGTGGCTCTCGGCCACAGAGATGGCACACATTGGGCACGGCACACACAGAGGGCACTTGGTAAATAGTTTTGACTTTATGGATGTCTCCTTCTCCCTTTCCCTCCTTCCCTCATGCACATTACAGCCCTGTGCTTGGCTTCATTTGGGGGTACCAGAGGGGCCAGAGCCATTTCTCTCCCTGTGGGGAACCCTAGGTCTTTTTTTTTTTTTTTGAGAGGTTTTCGCTATAGGGCGCCTGCGCTTGCCAGCAGACAGAGAGAGACAGAGAGACAGAAAGCGAGAAATCACCCCCCAGGGGGGATGGTCATGCCGCAAACCCTTCTCCTCTGTTCTCCTCTTGGGATCTTGGGCACGCACGCACACATGCCCGGCGTGAGTTTTAAGCCACCGGGTCCAGGACGCGAACCACGGTCGACTACGTGGGAGTCCAGCAACATAGTCTTTATGCTAACTGCTGGTCCCTGGGAACCCTAGGTCTTACATGTGTTCAGATTTCACCAAGAAGCCTGCCTCTTAGCTTCTAACTCCACCTCTCCAAGTGTTTTCTTAGCCACAGGCCTAACACATAGTAGGCACTCCCGTTTTTGATAGAATGAATAGATGCCTCTCTTTTCCCTTGTCTCTGTCTTCCTCATTTTTTTCTCTTTTTGTTTTGGTCTCCAAACACTGACTAAGTGCCTACTGCATGCCAGATGCCATGCTGGGCCCTGAGTCTACCTAGATAGACTAGACCCTGGCCCAGTCTTATAGATCTTAGGGCAACTAAATGAACAAAACAAACCTTCATGGGAACTTCCAAGAATGTGACCTCATTTGCTCGTCCCAACTCCACTACGAAGCAGTGATGATCCCCCTCCTATTTTATAGACAGAGAAATTGAGGCTCGCAGGGGGGAGTCACTTGCCCAGGGTCACACAGAAAGTAGCAGAGCTGTCCAATTGTACCCTGAACACACATTTATTGAGCATCTTCTGTTTTCCAGGCAGGGATGGAGGGGCGATGGATACATTCTGTAATAACTCTCAGTTTCTGTGACTCTCCACCTTTCCTTCTTTCTTTCTTTCTCTCTGTTTCATGGCCACCACATGGGGGGTTGGGGGTAGGGTCATAGGCTCCAAGACCCTGCATGTATGCAGATGGCTATGACCAGCTAGGCAACAGACCCTGGTACCCTTCCCTTCGCCTTAGGGCCTCAGTTCCAGTTCTCCATCCCCTATTGCAGATGCCTTTGCTATGGCCCTGCAGGGGTTAACTTCCTCACTGCTGCCATGGGCGGAGGTGACATCCAACCAGAAGCCTCCTCAGCTGCCTGCCTGGGTCTTGCAACCAATTAGACACATGGGCTCAAGCTTTCTTAAGGTGCCAGCCTCTATCCTTGGAAAGGGGGAGCCCCCTAACACCTGGTTATTCTGGGGGGAAAAGAGCAAAAGGAATCTGAGGCTCTCAGAGAAGAGAAATAAGGGGGGGAAAGACTTCAAGCTGGGGGAGCCAAGGATGGTTGAGGTGGGGGTGTCAGAATTTGGGAAATGGCAGGCAGGGGTGGAGTTGGAGATGTGGGTGGGCCTTGTAAGGGGGGTGGGGCCCTTATTTGAAGTCTTTTGGTTGAAGGGTGGCTCTTGGTGGTGGTGGTGGTGGGGAACGTCTGTGGTTTAGATAACTAGGCTGGGGGTGTAGGATCAGGAAGGTGTCCAGCTGAGAAGGTAAACAGTTTAGTGGAGGTGTCGCCCCTCAGAGGAGGTGGAGCTTGCTCTGGATAGTCCCAAGTAGAGGGAGAACTGGTCCTTGTCTCTGGTGACCCACTAAGAGCCTTGGCAAGCGAGGAGAGCCAGTGAGGTTGCATGCTGAGCATGTAGATGGATGTGGATGTGGCAGTGCTGGTTCAGACAAGGCCAGATGTAACCATCCGTGTGACAGAATGGACTCAACAGAGGAGGGCCCAGGCTTAGGAATGGTCCTCTAAAGGAGTGGGCCTTAAGAGAGGGAGGACTGTTGGGTCAGCAGGTGGCATGGAGGATAAGGTGGCTGGATCCCACATGACAGACTCTGCAGTTTGAGTCCTGGACCAGGGGCTTAAAAAAACACACCAGGTATGTGTGATGCATGCCCAAAGTCCCAAAGGAAAATGGAGGAGGAGGGATTTGTGGCATGACCATTCCCCCACAGGGTGATTTCTCGCTTTCCCTGTCTGTTTCCTGCAAATGCATGTGCCCTGTAGCAAAAAGATAGGGAGGAATGCAATTGGCAATAGAGTGTGAGCCGTAGCAAGGGTTATGCCAACATCAGGTGGGACTCACGTAACAATGGAATTATTAAGTGCCAGGCTTTGAGAATGTTAACTCATTCATTCCTTGCACCATCTCTAAGATGTACAAATTCTTGTTTTCCCCCGTTACTCCCATTTGGAGTACATGAGACACAGAGAGGTTAAGAAACTTGTGTAAAGTCACAGGGCTAGCAAGTACAGAGGAGAGATTCAAACCCAGGCAGTCAGGCTCCCAGACTTCGTCAGCCTAACCAGTTCTCAACACTGCCCTTTGAGGGGCCTAAGTAAGAACATAATATGTTTGCCTGGCTACATTTGACCCAATTTTGGATGAAACTTACTTGGAAATGTGATTTGGGACTTCTGGCATGCACATAGGGGTGTTTACCTCCGATATCTGGACAAGGTGCAAGGCATGAAGAGTGGACATAGTCCTAACAGCATAGGAAACCAACCCTAGTGGGCCATGGTGCCCTGTGGCTTGGAAGCCACAGTTCACTCAGAAGGGGAGTGACCTGCAGCAAGGACTGCTTAATGAGTAGGAATATGTAGTTGAAGGGCTTGAGAAATACAGGAAACTAGATGTTTTATCCAAAGTGGGGCATGCAGATGAGTGAGAGTGACCTGTATCAGGGCTTTTCCTGAAAGTCAGGACTATGTATAAAGGATGCATTAGAAGACCACCCGTTGTCTCAGTAAGAATAAGACACAAGGAGTGAGTTGACCTCTGTGTTCACCCGAGTGGGGGTGGGTTATACAGATAAGGGGCGTGGCTTGCAGCACCGGGTTCTCTTAAAGGATAGAAATATGTAGATGAGAAGCTTGAAAAGTAGATACTGCCCCCAGTTGGTGGTAAGACACAGCAGGGAGGTAGGTGGAGGGTGGAGCATGCAAATCAGGGGCGCTGCAGCTCCCCTCCAGAAGGGTGGAAGTGCTTTCTTTTTTTCTTTCTTTTTTTTTTTTTTCTTTTTTTTGAGAGGTTTTTTGCTATAGGGCGCGTGTGCTCGCCAGACAGACAGAGAGAGACAGAGAAACAGAAAGCGAGAAATCACCCCCCAGGGTGCATGGCCACGCTGCAATCCCTTCTCCTCCATTCTCCTCTCGGGATCTTGGGAACGCACGCACACGCGCCCGGCGTGAGTTTAAGCCACCAGGTCTGGGACTTGAACCGTGGTCGACTACATGGGAGTCCAGCGACATAGCCATTACTCTAACTGCTGGTCCCAAGGGTGGAAAGTACTTTCATGGGAGTGGGTGGGGCTTGAAAGGTTGCTGCTGTCTCAGTAAGGTGTGAGGCACCCTAGCTGGTTTAGGTCCTACTCTTCACCATGGGTGTGACAAAAGATAAGGCATGTGGCAGGTGGTTCAGAGTGAGGCTAACTCTGCCCTGATCCTGCCCCCTCCTGCAGGATGATTCCGTCCACCAGCCAGACCTTCCTGGTGAATGATCTTGCGGCAGGCCGCGCCTACGACTTGTGCGTGTTGGCTGTCTACGACGACGGGGCCACCGCTCTACCGGCCACGCGAGTGGTGGGTTGCGTGCAGTTCACCACGGCTGGGGATCCGGCGCCCTGCCGCCCGCTGAGGGCCCATTTCTTGGGTGGTACCATGATCATCGCCATTGGGGGCGTCATCGTCGCCTCGGTGCTTGTCTTCATCGTCCTGCTCATGATTCGCTACAAGGTGTACGGCGACGGGGACAGCCGCCGCGTCAAAAGCACCCCCCGGTCGCCCCCGCGGGTCAGCCACGTTTGCTCGCAGACCAATGGCGCAGGCGCACCGCAGGCCCCACCTCCGCCGGCCCAAGACCGCTACGAGGCTCTGCGCGAGGTGGCGTTTTCGGCTGCTGCGCCTGTCGCCGTCGAGGCGAAGGCCACAGCAGCCGATGCGGCTTCCGCAGAGCCGGAGGCGGTCCTTGGACGCTCTCTGGGCGGCTCGGCCACCTCGCTGTGCCTGCTGCCCTCCGAGGAAACTTCTGGGGAGGAGTCTCGGGCCACGGTGGGCCCTCGGAGAAGCCGTTCGGGGGCCCTGGGGCCTCCAACTTCGGCGCCCCCCACTCTAGCTCTGGTTCCTGGGGGGGCTTCGGGCCGGCCAAGACCGCAGCAGCGCTATTCCTTCGATGGGGACTACGGGGCGCTCTTCCAGAGCCACAGTTACCCGCGCCGCGCCCGGCGGACAAAGCGCCACCGGTCCACGCCGCACCTGGACGGGGCCGGAGGGGGCGCGGCCGGGGAGGATGGAGACCTGGGGCTGGGCTCCGCCAGGGCGCGCCTGGCCTTTACTAGCAACGAGTGGATGACTTTCTGAAGCTGAGA